CATCCTCACGGACTCCTTATGTGCTCCGCACTCAACAGAATTAGCCGACAAGTGGTGCCTGGCTTACGCTTCTACACCACCTTGAACAATAAATGGTGGCTGGTCGAGACTAACTAGAGCTGCGAACATCGTATATCACGATAGGCTGATAGCACGGTGACTTTGCAACGTGAAGATCCTTTGAAGCAGCCATACATCACCCCNNCCCCCCCCCCCCCCCCCCCCAGCTACCCATCTGCCTCACGGGCTGCGACCACTTTGCGTCGCAAGCCTCATGAAACGTCCGCATCAGCCTCATCAAGCTGTGTGCAGCTGTTGTCTAGCACGCCTTCAATGTTCGTAAGCCTCTGTTTCTGCAGCTGCAACGAGTCTTGAGCAATCTTTGGATCTCACATTATGATGCAGCTGATACCATACAAAACAACAATGCCAGAACGTGGCTTGCATCAGCACTGACGCCCGCACGAATGACCGTAGGAGGCATAAATTTCCACCTTTGGTGTCACGGTTTGGGCGCGCATCAGTGTAGTCACAGAACAGCATGGGATAGGGGCCATAATACTTGTGTCAGTTTGCAAGCAAAACTGTAGGGGCCTTTATGATTAGAAGACGCTGCTGGTGATATTTTGCAATGATCGTGTACGAACTATAAGGTGCTAATGCTACTAATTCTTCAAACCCCTCCGACAGTAGCAAGGCCGCCGGATTCACAACAGCATTGCCATCTGGGACAACAGCCCGACAGTCGTAAATCTCGGACAACGCCTGCAGGGTTCGGCTTTTGTAAGGTGCCAGGATGCATCGGTTTTCCAATCAGTTAGGTTTAAGGTCTAGGGCTATAGGCTACCAAGATTCACTGTGCTGAGTGGAGGAATTTCAGCGTGTCGCTTTGGGGCTTTCCCTGCAAGCCCAGACCGCACAGCCTCCCGAGTCCGTTTTGATCTATCAACCCCTGCAGCTCAAATGCTTCAGGGCTTTTGGGTCGAGGAACTCCTGGATCCTACAAGCCCTAGGCTCCTGGACCCCAAACTGCAAACTCGAAGAACCAAGACGACAATAGTAGTAACGGTCATAGTTACAGTGGTAATCGTAGTAGAAAGAATGAAAAGACTAAAATAATGGTTGTGTCAGCCTCAATCTCCACATCATCGCCCCACTCGCCCTCGCGCTGTATCCGTGCCAGAAACCTCCCGGCCAGCTGTTTCAACATCATTTCGGGCAGTCTAAACCCTGACGGAGACCGACAGGCACGTCGGATACACTGGGTGTTGCCATTCGTCGTGTAGGGCACAGGGAGACTGACGAGAACTGTCGTATCATATTCAGCATGGTCCTGGCATCATCCGCCGGCACATGTGTCCGATGAGCCGTAACAATGCACTGCTGCGCAAGCTGAATTAGTTGAGTTGTGTACAATAAACTCAATAACCCAGGTATTTGGAATAAGCCCTAGAACCTGGCGAGTCCCAGAATGGCTCAACCTCTTGATGTTGATCTTCAGCAGTTGAAGCAGACTGTTGTCGGACCGGCTCTGCTCCGATTGTATGGAAAGTCTCAATTTGCGAAACTATCTCATACCATTCCAATGCGTTTGACGTAGAAAGTATAGCTGCAGCTACACAGCCTCACATGAAGCACCTGAGGAGATTTCAACATAGACCGCAGCATGTGGCCCGTACTAACTACAACATGCTCTTCGATGGTGTATTAAACTGTCATGTTGCTTTTTGTCTTC